CAACAATATGTTACTTGTAGAAATGCAAATTAGTCATTGTAACATATTCGTCCTTGCCATGCGATGAAACCCACTATACATGGTGTCCATCAATAACCGTGATGACATTGAGGTAGGCCTATCAGCAAGTGTTGGATGTAGGCCGTCGACACAGTTGTACGGTGGCGAGTGGCGCACATATGGCACGGTTATCACTTGACCTTTGGCCTCTGAGGCGGCCGCAGCGCTGATAGCACGTTATCTGCACAGCTGATACAGCTGCTGACTGAGTCTCAGCACAACCCACGTGACAGCCATACCTCAGCCTCGTAGTTGCCTTTTTAGGCATTTTTAAACTGTCCTAAGCCCCATCTGGAGTAGCGGCGTTGGGAAACGGTGGACCTTGTCCTCGATTTTCCTTCTCTAGAATTCCGTCACTTAATTGTACCTCGGATATACGTTAAAATGGCCATCTGTTGATCGTCGTGTAGTTTATATAGGATTGACCTATTTTCTATTGTGCACACGAATACAGGGTCGCCGGAAGACTGCCCTCCGGACAACTACCCCTCCAAGCAGGTTCCTAAATCATGTTTACGTCAGAGGTCAAGGGGGCAGTTTTCCAGTCACGGACACTCAAGTTTCGCTGTAATACTGTTCTAAACTAACCTAACCTAACCAACCAAACTTGCTGTAACATTTAAAAATTCGGTATGATATTCCCCACATGCCTTTTCTGTTATCAAACGGGAACATAGCATCACATTTAGCTAGGGGGGTAGTATTCCAGTCACGGACACGGCTACCATATTGGTTAGTTGGCAGATTTCGTGAGGTCACGTTTCACCTGGGGGGTGGTTTTCCGGGGGTTAGTATTCCGCATCCCTAAATAGTCGAGTGACATTTTTATGATGCGGACGTAACCCCTTCAAATGAGATCAACTTCAGTAGGGTGGGTAAAACATAATTAGAACCAACTAGTTTAAAACCCTGCAAAACTTTAAAGCACGCAACACATGCACATCGTACATCACGGTTCGATCATTTTGGCACTGAACACATTCTCAGAGGACTTATCAACACGAAACAAGCGGTAGATCGAGCATGAAGTAAACACTTTGTGGAAAATACAGATAAATGCAGAGAATGACAGGTAATTGACACGAGCGCGTCCAGGTGATAAGCTACTGTACAACAAGCTGCACACTGTACACTGCACAATGCAGATTAGGTAATGAAGCGTGAACTGATAAGCATGAGGGTTTGACAAAACAATGCTAATCTGACATTAATAACTATCGATTTGCTTTGATTGATTCAAATACAATTAAACATGTCACGGGCTTACTAGGTACTTATCGTAGCAGAATACGAGTATTTAAAACGTTCAACCATATTTTGTAGATTATTTGTTTGTGTTTCATGTTACCACTAATTGCTGTAGGCACTATATTTTAAACCTGTAGGCAAAGTATATCCTTTTACGTTAACAAAACAATCGGATTTCATGTTTTTCCCCTTAATTTTCCTCTTGTTTAGGGTTGTTAGCCGACGCGATGTACAGTATTATATTCCTTCCCTTTCGATCCACGATTTTAACATACACGTCTTGATTTGTTTGCATTTATAACGCCAAGGTAAACCGAAATTACGAATGATTTAAACTTTACGATTACGGCATTCGGCCCATATTCGCTACAAATCGTATGCCAAACAGTGTCATAAGAATTGAAAGTCTAAGATAATTTAACTTCAGTTTGGACCCTACTCGTGCTTATATTTTTTCATTTGTAGTCAACGTGGTCAAATACAACACCAAATCAATCACACGAGTCTAAACACCAATAACCACAGTGTGTCATTGAATATAAAGGTTCAATGAAATATTCACAATGTCTACGTCGATAATAACGCACGGTTGCATACTGCTTACTACCACTTACTACTTAGCTCCGATCCTTTTCAAGTACTGTACCAGGCACCAGCGTGAACACATTAATGTCTTTAAATACAATTTCCCTTAAATACCTCTATAATAGTAACTAAAGACACATAAATTTCGGTGGCTAGAGCTTAAGACAAGACGATCATTTCGTCACTTCTGAATGTAATAATCAGTAGGTAAAACGTATTCTGCGTATCAAGAAAATAAAATAAATTAATTGATCACATTTTCATTTGCATGAAGCATAAGAGAGGATAAAAATATACTTGGACCTAGGCTGGGATTAGTAAAGGTTTTATGGTTATTGACTATTTTATATAGCACTAACGAGTATACCTAATGAAGTACGGTACCATTTTTTGTTAACAAGTGAAAAACAAGTGTAGCCAACTGTAATCTACGGCATTGAAGGAATTTGAGTCTATACAAGCATGGTGTCAGCAACACAATTTAAAACGAATTGTGTCTTGACGGTGTTAAAAATTTTCAATCTTTGTAAAGAACGAGGTGTATTATCTATCAGCCGGCTGATTATCACGCTGACGTTTTACATTGATGTCCCTACAACCACAGCCACAGAATATACATACCTAAAGATAGTTTTCTTCAGGTATATACAGGGTGAGTTTTAAATGAGTTCCCCCCCCCCTTACTTTTTCTACATTTCTTAAGATATCAACTCCGGGCCACGTCAGATCATTGTAGAGTAGGAAGTACTTCATTTTGACTAGGTATACATTTTTGGCCGCCATCTTGAATACGCCATATTGGATACAAATTTTTTTTTTTAATGTAAAGGTGGGGTTGTGACCCATCGTTTCAAACAAGATTTTTACGCTGAATACAATGCTGCAATCCGTTTTTCAAAATCTTAATCCGTAAAAAAGTGATTAGGAATTTTCGAATCTAATTACTGTATACATTTGGCCGAGAATTAATAATTTGTTAAAATGAACAATAATCAGAGTCTTAACTCTTAATCTTCGTTTTTTATAGCAAGTTTAGAAAAAATAGAGGCAAATCCTAACATTGCGTCATATAAAAATGTTTACAAAAATTCTTTTTGAATATTCCTAATAACTTTTTAACATATTAAGATTTTGAAAAACAGATTGCATCATCGTATTCAGCGTCAAAATCTGGTTTGAAACGATGTTCTACAATGATCTGACGTGGTCCGGAAGAAATGTAGAAAAAAAGTTGGGGGGGACTCATTTAAAACTCACCCTGTATATTCTGTGCTAAAACGCGCCAAGTAGAGAGGTCCAGCCCCTGCACTGAGGTGCAGTAAAGACGTCTACGTGATCTATAGCTAGCAGCAGACACATAAAATATTCAATCGAAGATGGGACACGAGCCAGACGTACCCTCAGCCCTGCTGCTGCTCACATTCATGGATTGATTTTGCGTATTTTGCCAGATGACATTCCAATTCAGTAAAAACATCCCCACAACCCACACTCACAAGTTCAATACCGTCTGTCTGTCAGATGATTAAACTGTGTTCTGCCAAACCAAGGGAGAAATTAAATATTGTTTGGTCTAAATTGACATTGCTGTGGACTATATGACTGGACGATTTTAAAAATCCTGCTTTCGTCACTTCTGTTGGTAATAATGTATATTGTGAATCATAATCTATGCAGTATGCATGTTTAAAAAATGCTAAGTATATCGATCGACACCAATCAATCTTTAGGACAAGATTCAAGAAATCCGTAAAATAGTAAAAAATCAGAAGAGGGGTTCCATAAACAATAAGTGTCTAAAATTAACCATTAAACGAGAATTACTTCTCGTTATACCAATATTTACGTTTTATCCTCAACGATAAACCTTATAGATTTTAGATTTTAGTTATGATCAACCACGCGTCAACGATTTCCTATAATGTTTTAGGGGCATCTCTATCTGAGTATCTGTCCATTTCAAAGAATCGTGTGAATATATTTCGCGAATTAAAGATTAGTTCGAAAACTAACAGAAAGAGCTTGCACTACTAAAATTCTAATCTAATCTTCATGACAAGTTTGAGTCACATTTTTCCCCATTTCAATTAATAAGAAAAAATTAAAAATGAATCAACAAGTAATAGAAGATATAATGAGAACTCCAATTTCAATTTTAGATCTTTAAATGTTAGAATAACTATCATAGACATGACATCATATATTACGTATATCTTATCTGGAAACAAACATTGTGATATTGTATTTGACAACATTTAATGTTGCAAATGCTCCGCGTATTGATGGAGGTTTACTCATTTTAAACCAACTAAATAATTTTAAAATCCTAATTAAACTGCAGTAATAAGTACGCACGTATATACCACTCTAAAAATAACTTTTATAGGTTTAAATAAAAGACAACGATGTTTGAACTGAAAGAGATTCCTAAAGTATACAATTACTATAAAATAGACTGAAGTACTAATAAAAAAATTATCTCCGTCTTGGGCGCTAAGTGTAGTCACAGAGTATGTTTTCTGTGGTGTAGTTGACTAGGCAACTTACGACTAATACCCTGTAAATAAAATCACTTACGGAAAAGGATTTGGCAAAAATAGCATCCAAAAAGGACAATACACAACACATCCGATCCACTGGGAATTTTAAAAACTTTGTATAATCAATCGAGGAAATTTATAAAGAATGAGTCAACTGTTCGCGACTACATCAAACACTGACTAAACAAGCGTCATTCGTATCACTAACCTACATGAAGATTTGTTTAGTGATACCAGAATAATTATGACGCTTGTATTTTACAACTTGTGTGGCACATTTTCATTGTGTTCTCGAGCTTTAATTGTTCTTCCGTATTGAGTTAGGTAAGTTTAATACCGTCTCGTTAACATGGTAAGAAGTAAATTCGCGTTCTTTGTCAGTATTATGGCTAAATGTGGTAAAGATTTCACGAGGAAATCCAGAGCATTCTCGTATAATGAGATATCCAATAATAAACTACCTTGTGATAGTCAAGGAAGTTTCGTTAACGACCGTCTTTGCGATATGAAAGACACTTATCATTGTAGATAAGTGATTTTGAGTTGTATTTGAATTGGCCAACTTACATAAAACTCCTTCAAACGCCACTTGGCTATGGGTATTTTGGTGGAGAAGAACTCTATCTCGGCCAGTCTCCATGTAGCGACGGGTATCTTTGTGTGTAGAAGGGATGGATCCCACTTGTGGTGCACATAGAACAAACATGACGGCAACTGGTTGTAGCAACTGTCGGACATCTCTTCGCAACTGTCTTTCATGCCGTTGCAACTTTCGGAAATGCCGTTGCAGCTGTCATTTATGCTGTGACAACTGTCATTCATGCTGTGGCAACTGTCGGAAATGCTGTGGCAACTGTAATCCATGTCTTTGCAACTGTCGGCGACAATGGCCGCTGTCACTGAAGACCCGAGGGTCCTCCATCGTCGGAGACGCGACAATCGCCTAGTCGTGGTAGAACAGGTCCGGGGAACACACTCGCGACCACGAACAACGTCCTTAGGACCCGTTACCGAAAGGGGAACACAGCGATGGCACCTTAAGTCTTCGTTTGGTATCAGGAAACACAGCGATGACACCTCTTCAGGTAGTAACAGGTAACACAGCGATGACACCTCTAGTCTTCAGGTGGTATAAGGTAACACAGCGATGATACCTCTTGTCCTCATGTGGTAACAGGGAACACAGCGATGACACCTCTTGTCCTCATGTGGTAACAGGTAACACAGCGATGACACCTCTAGTCTTCAGGTGGTATAAGGTGACACAGCGATGAGACCTCTTGTCCTTATGTGGTAACAGGGAACACAGCGATGACACCTCTAGTCTTCAGGTGGTATAAGGTAACACAGCGATGATACCTCTTGTCCTCATGTGGTAGGTAACACAGCGATGGCACTTTAAGACTTCAGTTGGTAACAGGAAACACAGCGATGACACACCTTGTCCTAAATGTGGTAACAGGAAACACAGCGATGACACACCTTGTCCTAAATGTGGTAACAGGTAACACAGCGATGACACCTCTTCGGGTGGTAACAGGTAACACAACGATGACACCTCGCCTCACCTCACCGCGCTGAGTCTGTACCTACACTGACACTGACACTGCCGACTACACGCGGTGGTGGTGGGCCGAGTCGCGCCGAAGCGGTGTCAGTTTCACAACGTCGTGAGTCATTCTCTATCTGTGATGATAGAATATCACGTACTATCGCTTTTATTATCGAAAAATATTTCCATTTATGTTGGTTGAATACAATTCTGGGAAAATATGATCAATGTTTAGTACTGTATTAAAGCGTTGTTTCCGCAGAACCTCTTCTCAGTTTGGGATTACCGTGTGTTCGTATCTATATATCTAATTCCGTAAGCCCAAAATTTTACAATGAAATTGTGAGCGAACTGGAGGCCGTAGAAAGCTGGGAGAGGTCTCATTTTAAAGGTCTGGGCATGAAATTTTGGGGAAAAATATTCATTTTTCTTAATTATGCACCAAAAGGTTATTACAGAATAAAATAATTCACATTTAAATAGCATGGGAATCTAGGTCATGTCTGCTTTGTTTACTTTAAAACATGTGGTTTAACTTTATTTAAAGCATATGGTAATATCATTGACTATTGGCTACAGAAGTTGTATTAATAGTCAAAGGTAGTATGTAATATGTACTGTAATAAGTAAACTATTATAATAAAGCTGAAATAGAATATTCCCAATTTTATGTCTTTTAGTGTAAAAACAGCTGTGATTATATAAATTGAAAGAATTATAACCACACCTCAATGTGTATTATTTTGTTATTGTAAAAATGTTAGTGAAGTGGTAAACAACACAAAGTGAAAATTAGGCTATATCAAATCTTTTAAACATACAATTTGACACTTTTAAACTTTGTATTATTTTGTTATTGTAAAAATGTTAGTGAAGTAGTAAACAACACAATGTAGGCGGTAATTATATCGACCTCCGGACCTCACGCGAAATTAAAATTTTTTTTTCCAAAATGTTCGAAATTTTACGCTGATTTCAAAAATGATTGTAGTTTTTTTCGGAAACGTCCCGTTTTCCCGGAAAATGGGAAAAACGGGAAAAATATTTTTTTGCTCAAAACCCATGTTGTGGGTACTCAAATTGTGCGGAATTTCCTCCTGAACAAGAATATGTAAATTTTATTACGATCGGACCACTATTAAGTAAAATATCACTTAGGTTTAGATTAGGTTAGGTTAGGTTAGGATAGGTTAGTTTAGGTTAGGTTAGGTTAAGTTAGGTTAGGTTAGGTTGGTTTAGGTTAGGTTGAGTTTCGTTACGTTAGGTTAGGTTAAGTTTGGTTAGGTTAGGTTGGTTTAGGTAAGGTTGAGTTTCGTTAGGTTAGGAAGTTTGGTTGGGTTAAGTTAGGTTAGTTTAGGTTAGGTTAGGTTAGGTTGAGTTTTGTTAACCTTCGAATCTAATCCTGTTTAGAATAGGTTAGGTTAGGATAGGTTAGTTTAGGTTAGGTTGGGTTGGTTTAGGTTAGGTTGAGTTTATAAGTAATAACATTCGAGTATTGTAAGTAAACTAACCTAAACTAACCTAACTTAACCAAACTAACCTAACCAAACTTAACCTTACCTAACCTAACGAAACTCAACCTAATCTAAACCAACCTAACCTAACCTAAACTAACCTAACCTAACTTAACCTAACCTAACCAAACTTAACCTAACCCAACCTAACGAAACTCAACCTAACCTAAACCAACCTAACCTAACCAAACTTAACCTAACCTAACCTAACCTAACGAAACTCAACCTAACCTAAACCAACCTAACATAACTTAACCTAACCTAAACTAACCTATCCTAACCTAACCTAACCTAATCTAAACCTAAGTTAGGCTATGTTAGGTTGGGTAACCTGTCCGGTGATGTTTTACTTAAAAGCGATCGTAATAAAAACTACATACCTTGAGGTTATGGTGACGTTATGGTAAACGAGCTTGAGGTTGTGGTTTTCTTAAATCTTGAGATATTTTTTTTTGTTCAGGATGAAATTCCGCACAATTTGAGTACCTACAACATGGGTTTTGAGCAAAGAAAAATTTCCCCGTTTTCCCGGTTTTCAGTGATATTTTACTTAATAGTGGTCCGATCGTAATAAAATCTACATATTCTTGTTCAGGAGGAAATTCCGCACAATTTGAGTACCCACAACATGGGTTTTGAGCAAAAAAAATTTTTCCCGTTTTTCCCATTTTCCGGGAAAACGGGACGTTTCCGAAAAAAACTACAATCATTTTTGAAATCAGCGTAAAATTTCGAACATTTTGGAAAAAAAAATTTTTAATTTCGCGTGAGGTCCGGAGGTCGATATAATTACCAATTAGGCTAGATCAAATCTTTTAAACAAACAATTTGACACTTTTAAACTTAACACTTTTTAATAGATTAATAATGTATAATGTTGGAAGACTACCACGCAGGGGTAGGCCGCCACGCAGAGGTATTGTTCCTCGAAATGAGAACAACAGGCGCCAGATTTGGCGCGATATAAATGGAAGAAGAATAAATGAGCATCCGGATGAACATGAAGTTATTCCTGTGTATAGATTACCACTTTTAAATGAAATTGCATTGCACAGCTTAGGACCAATGAACGATGAGTGCATTCATTGTGGTGCATTGCACTTCATTGATGAATTGACAAGTGGACACTACAACTCTTGCTGCCACAATGGCCTAATACACCTACCACAGCCTCAAAATAACAATGAGCTGCAAGAACTATTTAATAATGCCCATTTTATGAAAAATATAAGACAGTACAATAGCGCTATGGCATTTGCATCTCTTTCGGCAACAAAAAAAGAAGTACCAGGTAACGGACCATATTGTTTTAAGGTACAGGGGCAAATTCACCGTTATATTTCAGACTTATTACCAATTGAACAAACCCCTTCATATGGACAATTATATTTCTTGGATACTGCATTTGCAAACAATATTAGACTACAAAGACCTGAAAATAGTGAACTCAAATTGGAAATAGTGACACGATTATCGGACATATTGTCAGATAACCCTTATTCACAATCCTATAAAAAAGCTTCCGAAATTATGACAAATGAAGGCAATCAAAGCATCACATTAAGGTTTGTAGATAACATTTCTATGGATCTGAGGCGATTCAACAAACCCACCGCAGATGAAATCGCCGGAGTGTTCAATTCTGAAGAAGGTGAACCCCCGCACAATCGCCATGTAGTAATATATAACCGCCAAAGCGGGCCTAAGCTTTTATCAGTATTGAGCCCACATTGTGACCCAATGCTATATCCACTATTGTTTCCAAATGGAGAACCCGGATGGGACCCACAAATGACTCACAATGGGCAACGAAGACAAAGAATGCGTGAAAAACTGACTATGCTACAATTTGCATGCTATAGACTTGCTGTTCGGGTAGGATTTTCAAATATCCATGCTGCAAAAAAATTATTTCAACAATATATTGTCGATTTGTACACAAGAGTTGAAAGTGATAGACTCAATTATGTAAGACACCACCAATCACAGCTCAGAGTTGAACATTACCGTGGATTGCAAGATTTTGTGTTGAACAGAGCACAGTTAGAAAATGTAACTGCGGGTAAAATTGTTGTCTTGCCATCATCATTTGAAGGAAGTCCGCGTAACATGACTCAGCGATATCAAGATGCAATGGCTATCGTGCAGAAATACGGTAAGCCAGATTTGTTTATAACAATGACATGCAACCCTAATTGGACAGAAATACTCTCTTCACTTAAAGACAATGAAACTCCAGCTGATCGCCCAGATATTGTTTCCAGAGTATTCAGATGCAAACTGAATGAATTGAAAAAGGATCTACTAAAGAACAACGTCTTTGGAAATGTTATTGCTTATGTGTATGTAATAGAATTCCAGAAACGTGGCTTACCCCATTGCCATATGCTTATAATTCTGGACGAAGAATCCAAATTTCGTGAACCAGCACAAATAGACCAATGTGTCTATGCAGAGATACCTAATCCCAATGAGTTTCCAAGGCTTCATGACATTGTAGTTCGTAACATGATTCATGGACCATGCGGAGTGCGAAATCTCAATGCACCTTGCATGAAGGATGGAAAATGTTCAAAAAAATATCCTAAAGAGTTCTTGGATGAAACAGTTGAGAACAACAATGGGTATCCACTTTATCGTCGACAAAACAATGCTATCACAGCCCAAAAGGGGGTTCACCAGGTTGATAGTAGAGATGTTGTGCCATATAATCCGTATCTATTGATGAAATATAACGCTCACATAAACGTTGAAGTTTGCTCGAGTGTCCGATCAGTAAAATACTTATTTAAATATGTATATAAAGGATATGACTCAGCTTGCTTAGAATTTGTAAATAGTGTACAGAATGATATGATGAACTTTGATGAAACAATCCGCTTTGCCAATATGCGGTATGTTAGTTCTCATGAGGGTATTTGGCGCCTACACTCAAATGAAATGCATGAACAATCTCATACAATAATTCGCTTAGCTGTTCATGAAGAAGGGTATCACAATGTTTACTTCAGTGCTGGAAATGAAGAGGATGCTCTTCAAACTTCGGTGGATAAACACACAACACTGACAGCATGGTTTGATTTAAACAATCGAGATCTCAATGCACGTGAATATTTATATGCAGATATTCCACAGCACTACAGGTTTGTTTCAAACAAATGGGTACGTCGTCAAAGATGTGGATCGAAAGTAATAGGCAGATTGTACAACGTAGCGCCAAATGACCCAAACAGATTTTACTTACGTATTTTACTTCTGCATGTTAGGGGAGCTACATCATTTGATGATCTACGATTCTACAATGGGATTGTATATGATTCTTTTAAAGAAGCTGCAGTTGCAAGGGGACTCCTTCTTGACGATGCAGAGTGGAATCGTTGTTTAGAGGAATTAAAAAATAGTCAAATGCCAAAACAGTTACGATATTTATTCGCATACATTTGTTGTTTCTGTGAGCCAACATCACCATTGATGCTTTGGACTTCTTTTAAAGACAAATTCATAGAGGACTTCCATGAAATGAGTGTAGATGAGGCTGAAAATGCAGCTTTGCAACAAATAGACACCATTCTTAGAGAAAACGGATTCGATTGTGCCAGCCTCAATTTACCAGTACCAAGAAACACAAACCTTTTGATTAATTTTTACAACGTACATGAAGAGTCTGTACGAGGTGCCGAAATGTACTCCAAACTAAATTGTGAACAAAAAACTGTTGTTGATAGAATTCTCAGTGCGATATCAGGTAATACGATGGAAAGACTGTTTTTCTTAGAGGCTCCAGGTGGAAGTGGTAAAACATTTGTATATTCGTGTCTTCTACATATAATCCGAGGAAGAGGTGAGATTGCATTGGCAGGTGCCTGGACTGGAATAGCGGCATTACTTTTAGATGGAGGAACCACGCTTCATCGTTTATTTGGACTCCCCGTACCTGTACAGCAATCATCTGTTTCAATGATTAAGGTAAATTCTGAAAGAGCATCTACTTTGAGAGATTCTGCGGTTATAATAATAGATAAAGCTTCCATGGTTCCTGCCACTGCGGTTGATTGCATAGATCGTCTATTGAGAGATATTATGAAATGTAAGGATTCCAATCTCTTCAAGGTGCCAATGGGAGGTAAAGTAGTACTTTTTGGAGGTGACTTCAGGCAAGTATTACCTGTGGTGCCACTATCTAACAAGGTACAGATCATTGAAGAATGTCTTCAGAGGAGTAAAATTTGGAAACATGTAACTATAGTGCATTTGAAAGTAAACATGCGTGCAAATGAAAATGAAACAGCATTTTGTGATTGGCTTCTACGCTTAGGTAATGGAATCTTAGAGAGCAATAGGGCAACACCGGCAATTGACATTCCTGATAACTTTGTTCTCTCTGATTGTGCAATTGTACAACATGTTTATGGCAACTCAATAAATCCAGAAAATATTCAAAACTACTCCAATCAAATAATTGTATGTCCTTTAAATGAACAATGTGATAATTTAAATGAAGAAGTATTAAAAATCATCGAAGGAGACTATAAAGAATACTACAGTAATGATGAAGTAGTTTCAGAAGACCCTACAGAGAGGTTGAACATACCAATTGAGTTTATAAATTCAATTACACCATCTGGAATGCCACCACACAAATTAGTTTTAAAAGTTGGTTCAATAGTGATGCTCATAAGAAATATGAACCTAGGGTCTGGATTAGTTAATGGAGTACGATTGGTTGTGTTGGGTATGTCTGAAAAAAGTGTAAGGTTAGAAGTAATTACTGGAGTAGGCAAAGGGAACATATTTTTCATGCCAAAAATAAAACTAATATCTACAGATCCTAATATGCCCTTTAAATTTACAAGGATTCAATTCCCATTGAGATTAGCTTTTGCTATTACTATAAATAAAGCTCAAGGCCAAACATTCTCAAAAGTTGGCATTTATTTGGAAAAACCAGTGTTTACCCATGGTCAACTTTATGTTGCTTTTAGCCGGGTAAAGCGGCCAGATGACGTTAAAATAGTAATAAAACCAAATAGAGACCAAGGAATGGACCAAAATGGATATTATACAAAAAATGTTGTTTTCAGAGAGATTTTGTTACAGAATTAGTATTTTACAATTTGGAAGATGACATTATCTCTATGTGTTGTGTTTTTCTAAGTGAATTTGTCTATATTCAAAGAAATGTATATATATTTAACTAGCTGTAACCCGCGGGCTTTGCCCCGTTTAACTTCTTAATTTTCAAGATTACTGTATCTCGTTCGCATGGCTCAATCACGTCCTGGTTGAAGTTTGTTCGCTACGCTCACTCACCTTTAGGTTGGAGCTCGTTCGCTGCGCTCACTTGCCTTCAGGTTAGCTCGTTCGCTACGCTAACTCGCCTCCAGGTTGAAGTTCGTTCGCTACGCTCACTCACCTTTTGGTTGCAAATTAGCTGTTGTCATAAATGTAAAAGAAATAATAGTGCTGCACCCTGTTGGTAATTTTTGTAACTTTAATGCTATTGAACATCACAGAACAGAACCAACTTGTTAAAATTGAAACAGCTGTTAAGATTCAATAATTCCATTTCTCATAAGGTTAACATGGGAAACTCCAGAGCCACTGGGGCGGAGCCCGAAAGGATTTTTGAAATAAGAATATGCCTATATGTTAATCGGGAATGTGAGCTATCATCATGCCAAATTTCAGCCCAATCCGACCAGTATTTTTCGCGTTCACTTGTCACAAACATACATCCATACATCCATACATCCATCCATCCAAACTTTCTCATTTATAATATTAGTAGGATTAATAGTCATGAAGATTATTATTGGAAATGTTCTTTTGTTGTATTATGATTAGAAAATGTATGTTATAATCACACCACATGAAGAGTCCTTTTGAATTTTTATCCTAAACAGAGCAGACAAAAATGAATTATGCAGGTATGTGATAACTATTATACATTATTATAATATACAAAAAATTTAAACGAGAATTCAAGGTAGGGTACGGTAACCCGTGAGACAAATAATTTGTACAAACAAAATAATTATTAGAATATATAACATAAATATAGGGGCTATTGCCCCTACAAGCCACTAGTAAAATAGTAATCGTAGTATTTATTGTTGTACGGGACCCAAATAGTCTTTGAGATAACATTATAAGGTGCTGTCTAACTACCGAGTCAAGGTGATTCATAAAAATTAATGATATTGATGTTAAGTATCAACTATTTAAAAAAAAAACCTTAGAACTGAATCCACTGGTTACAATGCAATTAGTTATATGTATGGGATCACAATTAAAGTTATTCCT